TTACTATGATGCAGATCACCAAAAATTTACTATGTTTTACAACTCCCTATTGATCTGCGTGACATGTCCTGTGACTGATAAGCAATTAATGATTATAGATGATCTGCACTGTAGTAAGATTTACACAAGTTTACGCTAAATTAATTTCCTGATGATAATGCAGATGTAAGAAAAGATAAAACATTATGACTATATTTAGGCAAAAATATTATTATTGGAAGCATCAAACCTCAACCAATGAAAGCTCTGTTAGATAAATATTCTCCAATTGTGAATCAACTTGCAACACACTATCACTATTTTTGTCAGTTTCTCTGGCGATATAGATAAACAAATAGAAATAAGTAAATAAATAAAAACAGAGGATTGCATCATATGTCCATCAGAATTACTTTTTTCAATGCTTTTGTTTACTTGTAGATATGAGTGGTTTTCTTTGTTGTTGTTTCTTTGTTGACTAGAAAAAAAGGATATTAAAAAACTGAATGTTGACAAAAAAAATGTACTGCTTACTTACCATTACATTTTTTGTTGACAACAGTGATTCACTCTTCGAACATAAGCAGGTTTTCTTGTTTTCTTTACCTCTCTTTTTGTTTGGTGATGATATTATATTATTATTTATAAAATGTAAAAAGAATAACTTAATAACTGGAGTGATGGCAAGTTTGCAGCAACCACTACCATCATTCTTATGATAAACTAGAGTAATGATGAGTGGCAGGTGATAACCACCACCATCCTTATTCTCTTTTCTTTTCTTCTTTCATTGTTGATTTGTGACATCTTTAAAAGAAAAAGAAGTTTGTGATTTGATCAATGCGTACACATTATTTATTTATCCTATTGGTTTTTTTTGGTAGGACAGACACAAATTGATTGATTTTTTTTTTTTTGGAAAACAAAAAGCAATTTATTTTTTGGCAGAGTCCAAGGTGACAAAATGTGAGTGTTGTTGTTTGGTTTGGTTTGGGTCTCCTAAAGAATACAGTTCACTCTCTCTATAACAAACCCTTTGTCCCTATATGTAATTTCTCTGCTTTTGGTCATTATAGAGAGAGAAATTAATTATAAAAAATTGAAACAGAGACAAAAGGGAAGTTCGTTATAGAGAAATTTTACTTAGTGGTCATTATAGAGAGGGTCATTATAGAGAGAGTAGACTGTATGTGTTAATAACTAACCAGAGTTACTTTTTTTTATTTGTATTGATATGTATGAGTATACATGAAGTCAAAACTATTTTGACCATTGCAGATCTGGCCAAGATAGGGTCAAATTTTTACTATGTAGTTGCCTCAAGTTGAAACATTTTGACTTTGGGGTTTTAATTTCGACTTCATGTATATGTATGAGGTGTCTTTTATTTTAGCCTATAAATATTTTAATTGGATCAAATGCAGAGTAGATCTTGCTGGGTAATTACAAGATTTTCATTGATAATATTTTGTTTTGCGTAATCATAATAATAATACTATTATTAATATATAATTACAAGATGTCAAGGCAATACACCATTTAAAAAGAAAAGTTTGTGATCTCACTGAGTTTTATATTAACATTATAATTTTTTTTTTTTTCATATTATCATACAAGTAATCTCTTAACTTTATTGTATGTTCATGAATCATGTAATTTAAATAGATTTTTCTATGTATAATAATTTTTTATTAATAAATGTAAATTAAATTGAATTATATCAGTTTGTAACTTCTGTCCTCATATATAAAAATTTAAACAATAAATGAAAAAAAAAATTTTTTTTTCAATCAATTTACACTATAATTGATAAATTAATATTTGCTGTTAATATTCCAATTTTTGGAATAAATTGACAATCTTATAGTCATTAGAAAGCTGAAGTTCCATCATCCATCATACTGAAAAATTACATATTGTTTATTATAGAGACTTTAAAGATCGCCTACAATTTAAAACATCAACTGCTCATGTTAAAATTCTTTGATTTTTTTAAATTTTGATTAATTAATAAAAATACTAAGCTGATTGGAATGAAAATACCACTATTAGGATGACATTCTGCCCTGATTTATGGTTATGTGTGTTTCCTGAATTATTGTTATTAAGGCTCCGAACAGATCGGATCAGATCGGATTTGGTGGAAATCTGATCTGATCTGAAATCTGTTTAAGCTGATCTGATCCAATCTGGTTTTTTAAAATAATGGATCTGATCTGATCTGATCTGGTTCTTTAAAATACTGGATCTGATCTGATCTGATCTGGTTCCTCAAATACTGGATCTGATCTGATCTGATCTGGTTCTTTAAAATATTGAATCTGATCTGATCTGGTTCTTTAAATATTGAATCTGATCTGATCTGAAATCTGATCTGATCTGAAATCCGAAATCTGATCCAAGATATTACCGTAAAGTAGCACTTCTGTGACATTGCCTTTTTAGTAAATTTTATAGTTTGCCACGGAGCACTATCTTTCCAGACTTTATGATATAAATAATAATAAAAATTTTTATAAAAATATTTGAAAAAAAAATTTTATGAAAAAAAAATTTTTATAAAAAAAAAATTAATTTTTACAATTTTTACAAATTAAAGAATTTTATGAATTAAGAATTTTTATGAATTAAGAACTTCTATGAATTAAGAATTTTTTTATATGAATTTATGAATCAATTACTTTATGAACTATAATGGCAAACATTATTATTAATAATGATTCAGATCTACCAGAAGATGTAACAACAGTAACTGTTGATGATAATAATAATAGAAAAAAAAGAAGAAGTGAAGTTTGGGAGCACTTTGCTTTTGCTAATGATAAAGCAAAGTGTAAACACTGCATTGGATAAAATATTTTAATGAACTTGCAGTTTTCAAAAAACATATTCTTATTTATTTGAAATAATATATTTTTCAGAGGTTCATACACTGTTTCAAGTCGTAGTAATTCTAGCACTGGTAATCTTTATAAACATTTGAGAAGTCAACATCCAACTAAGCTTAATACCAATGAAAAAAACATTACAGTAACCGGGACTCTGAATCATTTTGTGCAATCAAAAAAATTACCAGTTAGTATAGAATTCTGAATAATAATTTGTTAAATTAATTTCTTTTTATCAGCCTTTTTCAGCTGAAAGCTTTCGAAATTTTCTTATACGTTGGATTGTATGTAGTAATCAACCATTCATTGAAATAGAAAATGAAGAATTAAAAAATCTGTTGCGGTTGTTGCGGCCTGGAGTTCCTTTACCATCAGCAGATACTATAAAGAATGAAATTATTAAATCATTTGATAAAGAACGTTCTAATCTGAAAGAATTATTACAAGTATAGATGGGCGTCAAAACTAAATTATTTAGACAAAGTCAAAATCCAAATTATTTAGACTAATTTTGACAAACGTGCTACATGGTGTCTAAATTTTTGACATGTCTAAATGTCTAATTGTTTTGACATGTCTAAATTATTCTGACATGTCTAAATGTCTAAATGTCCAAATTATTCTGATATGTCTAAATGTCTAATCATTTTGACATGTCCAAATTATTCTGATACGTCTAAATGTCTAATTGTTTTGACATGTCCAAATTATTCTGATATGTCTAAATGTCTAATTGTTTTGACATGTCCAAATTATTCTGATACGTCTAAATGTCTAATTGTTTTGACATGTCTAAATTATTCTGATACGTCTAAATGTCTAATTGTTTTGACATGTCTAAATTATTCAGATGTGTCTAAATGTCCAATTGTTTTGACATGTCTAAATTATTCTGACATGTCTAAATGTCTAATCATTTTGACATGTTTAAATAATTTAGATATTGATCGTTTTTGATTTTTTTCCCATAAATTTTCCCATGAAAAAAAAAAATGTAAATTATAACTCACCACGACACAAGTAACTGTATCTATTAACATCCTACCTATTCACACACTAGAATAAGCGAGTACAATCTACTATTAATTCTAATAACAATAAAATAATAATTTTTTGATAAAATAAGCATTAATAAAATTATAAACAATTGTTTAATAATAATAAGCAGTAGTAAAAATAATAATTGTTTAATAAGCAGTAGTAATTATAAAAATAATAATTGTTTTAATAATAATAAGCAGTAGTAATTATAATAAGCAGTAGTAAAAATAATAAGCAGTAGTAAAAATAATAATTGTTTAATAATAATAAGCAGTAGTAATTATAATAAGCAGTAGTAATTATAATAAGCAAGCAGTAGTAAAAATTATAATTGTCTAATAATAATAATAAGCAGTAGTAATTATAAAAATAATAATTGTTTAATAATAATAAGCAGTAGTAATTATAAAAATAATAATCATTTAATAATAATAAGCAGTAGTAATTACAAAAATAATAATAAGTAGTAGCAATTACAAAATAATAATTGTTTAATAAATTGTTTAATAATAATAGCAGTATAATAATAGCAGTAGCAATTATAAATTAATATTAATAGTAATAGCAATAGCAATAATTATAGTTATACAAATATTAATAGCAGTGATAGTGGAAGCAGTAGTAATAGTAGTAACTGGGTTAATATTATTATAAAAAAACGTAATTGATAATGAATAGGAACTTGATTGATAATAATAGTATTGTTGTCAATGATGTAGATAATAGTGATGTTAATAGCAACTATAGTAGCAGTAGTATTAGCAGTAGTATGTATAATAACATCAACAATAATCTAAATATTAGTGATAATAAATCCATTGGAAGGCCTGGATCTTCTGTATGGAATCACTTTACAAAAGGTGAAGGAAAAAGTAAAGGAAAGCATACAGCTACATGTTTATTTTGTAATAAATATTATCCAAGAGGTACTCCAAATGAATTAGAGTCTCATTTAGCAACTACATGTATTCAAGTTCCTTCTTCACTAAAAGAACATTATTTAAGAGTTATATCAAACAAAGATTGTGATTCAAGTGATAAGAAAAGAAAAATAGAGTCAAATCAACGTAAATTAACACAATATCATGATTCTTCTGTGCTAATTCCAGAAAGAAAAAAGAAAATTGATGCTGCATTACTTAGATTTTTTATCTGTTGTGGGGTACCATTTTCTATTGTGGAGAGCCCATTTTTTATTGAGCTTACGAAACAATTACATGCATCTTATGACCCTCCTACAAGAAAGACTTTGTCTAAACAAATGTTGAATTCTGAATTGGCAACAATTGTTGTAGCTGTAGAAAATGAACTTCGTAACTCAAAAGATTTGACGCTTGGACTTGATGGTTGGACTAATAAAAGAAATCAAGGAATTTACAATTTTGTAGTTATTACACCTGATAGAAAAGAATATATTGTTGATATTAAAGATCTTTCAAAAGAGCGACATACTGGTGAACTTTTGGCTGAAGAAATTAGATTAATCTTGACAAAATTTGGTCCTGAGAAGTTCTCGGCAATTGTCACCGATGGTGGTTCAGATGTAACAAAGGCTAGAAAAATCATCCATAATCAATACAAGCACATTTTTAGTATTCAGTGCATTGCTCACCATCTGAATTTAATGACTAAAGATTTGTGTAAACATTCATTTGCAAAAGATTTGATTTCCAAATGTCAGTCAATTGTTACATATTTTGGCAAATCTCCATTATCAACAAGTTTACTAGAAGAAAAAATTAAAAGATATAATGTTGTTGGGGGTGGATTAAAGACATCAACAAAGACAAGATGGAGCACAATTTGGGATTGTATAGATTCAGTTGCAAGACTTGGTAATATTCTCCTGGAGGTAAATTATGTTATTTTACATCATTCATATGATACAATATTTTCTTCTTATTCTAATATATTATATATTATTCATATTTAGTTAGCAAGTGAAAATAATAATATTTCTTCTTCAGTTAAAAATACTATCAATGAGTTTAGTTTTTTTAATCAAGTTAGATCTTTATCATTTGTTCTTAAACCATTAAAAGACGCTATCCAATACTTGGAATCTAAAAATACTACAATTGCTGACTGCTTTATTCAAATAGCAAGTTTAGCATCACAAATTAAACATTTATCGGCTACAGTAGATCCAAATTTTAAAAATTATTGCATTGACATTTTTAATAAGAGATGGGGACAATTTAATTCTAAACTTTTTTATATTGGGATATTTTTTACATCCAAAATATAGGGGTAAATTTATTTTCCTTTTATTCTTATTAATAAAAATAAAATAAAAATTGGCTAATAATATTTAATCTTTTAGATAAATATTTAAATCATGATAAAATACGTGAATTGATGTTGTTTGCAATTGAATTGTGGGCAGATATGGGTCATGGAAAACAAACTTCAACAAGGCTTGTAAGTCAAATACATTTATATCGTGAAAAAAACCACCCTATGACCTTCCATATGATAATGCAATTTCATCATATACATGGTGGAATTTACTATCAAAATCAGGTGGTTATTTACAAGAAGTAGCATTAAAATTATATGCAATTACACCTCATTCTGCAGGGTGCGAGCGTGTTTTTTCAATTTTATCATGGTTCTACAATCAACGAAGAAATAATCTAGATATCAATAGAGTTAAACATATGGCAATCATCCATAATTATTATATTTCAAATGAAAAAAAAGGGTTTGAGTTTTTTGGGATGAATATTTTAGACGAAGAAATATATTCTAAGATTAGTGAAGCTGAAAAATTATTAGAAAATGAAGATAATGAAGAAATTGAGATTGGAAATGATGAAAATAATGAAGAAATCGAAGTTGATGATGTTGAAAGTAATGAAGATGCTGCAATTAACAACCAAACAAGATTATTAATTGAAGACTATATTAATATTGATATAAATTTATTTAATTCCGAGATTAATAGTAGTGTAAACCAATTTATTGATGAACAGGAAATAATTGAAGAAGATGATTTAGATTTTTGATATTAGTATTTGTTAATAAATAAATGAAATTTTGCAACATCTTAATATTTTGACATGTCTAAATAGTTTTGCCATGTCTTAATGTTTTGCCATGTCTAAACAGTTTTGCCATGTCTAAACAATTTTGCCATGTCTTAATGTTTTGCCATGTCTAAATAATTTTGCCATGTCTTAATGTTTTGACATGTCTAAATAATTTTGCCATGTCTTAATGTTTTGACATGTCTAAATAATTTTGCCATGTCTTAATGTTTTGACATGTCTAAATAATTTTGCCATTTAGACCATGTCTTAATATTTTGACAATCATGACTAAACCTATATTTAGACTTTAGACATTTTTGACAAGCCTGAAAACAATTAGACGCCCATCTATAGGGGCTACACAATATTCGATGATATCAAACTGGAGAACAGACCTAATATGCGGATATCAATTATAATAGGAGCTCACGAACTAATATTGACTGATACATATTTAAATGTAATCGACAAATAATGTTTTTAAAACTAGAGACCCATTCTATCAACTAATATATAATGAACTTTGTAAAATTCAATATTTTGTATAACAAACTGCCTTGGAAAATCATAATATAAATGGTGCCGAACTCTTAAAAGTATTAATTATTATTATAATTGCTTCTTTCTTTAAAATATAACGAAAACAAGGCTAGTTTCTTTCTTTGACAAATTATAATTAATGAAAATACAAATTGTTTGTTAATATCTTTTTTAAACATACAGCCAAGGTGTGGTTCTTGTCACAAATGAAACTGTTGGAGGAAGACTTTTATTTTGCCCAATACAAACCATAATGAAATAACAAGTGCAGAATCTTTTTTAAACAACTTCAAGAAGAAGATATGAATAATACACAAATTTAATTAATAATTTAAATTATTTAATCGCATTTGAATTTATTAGTATTTATGAAATAGAAATATCAACAGAAGAAGCACGGCGATTCCTCCACTTCCACCTGTATCACATAAAAACTCCTTGTTGACAATGGAAAAATCAATTTATATTTTGGACAACAACCAGACAAATCACAATTATCAGATAATTAATTGATATTGATAAAAAAAATTCAATATATTGAATTTAATCCATAAGTAGAGCTTTTCCTATATATTGATAATAATAATACGTATAGGATAACCATTTGGAAAATTTAAGACACGGATATTAATATCCTATCAGCTATTAAATAGTAATAGGATAACGGATAACGGATAACTCGAATAATAATAACAATAGATAAATAATCCGAATTATCCTAGATTCACTAATTATTCATAAACAAGATTTTAAATTTAAAACTTTCATAAAAAATAGTTTATGATATTACCATTTGGATCTGATGTACAGTTTTCGCCGTTATTTTGAATCTGATGGGTGTCTTTTTCGTTTACCTCAATGATATATTCAACTGCGAAGCTTTACTTTTGACTTGAAGATTTAATGAATCAGATTTTTCTTTATTATCAAGAAGTTTATCAAGCACGTTTTTTGTATGCTCCAATGCCATCGCCAGTATCGTCAAAAATAGGTGGTGTAGGCTTTTCTATCATCATATTCAGACCATGCATGTTTTTTTGAAGCTCTTTCAGTTGACATATTTGGAAATGGTATGCTTTAAGTTTTGCAAGTGATTTCTTTGTTTCCTAAGCTGGTTCTTTTGAATGTGTCATTTATGTTTTATCCAATACAATATAATCTTATTACAACGAAGTGGCTGGACATTAATATTTTTTGACGAAATGTTGCCAAAGTTGTAAAACTATTACGTCAAATTCGCTGCCATTAAGTCAAAAATAACTCAAGTAAAATTGCTTTAAAGGCTAATAAAATATAAAAGCTCGTAAAAAAAACTTATACAGTAAATATATATTCCAAGAGCAAAGGTTGCTCGACAGCGATGCCTTCGAAGTTGGTTTCGATTTTGTCGATAAAAGCAGTGTAAGCTTTGCAGGTCTTTTTTTTAATATTTTTTTCGTGTACCCAATCTCTCACAAGGAGCTAAGGTTTTGCTGAATACAAATACATTCATTTACTACTAACTCGAACATTTTTTATATTAATATTAATAACGTGATACATGATTCGGTACCTCATGTTCCAAGGTAAACTAACTTAGTGTATCAAATGAAATTTACGCAAAAGCCTTTTGTAATTATTACTGTGTAAATAATTATAGAAGTCTTTACAATGTCAATATTGATTGATTAAGTTACTTTGCATCGTTGTTTTTATCCTTATTGTAATGATCAATGAAACTTTCATCGAGGATAACTTTTGATCTTCGCTTGAAAAAGCATAAAAGCATAAATTCGGGACCTCTTAGAAGATAATTAACATTCTAATAAAATAATACTCTGATAGAATCATTATTTTCATTAAACAAAATCAATCGTTAATAAACTTCTAAAAATAAAAAATAAAAACAAAAACATTGTCTTTATTTTCTTTGTTTAAAGCATTTTGATAAAAGCAACAAGTGTAGTTAATGCCTTGGTAAAAGGTAACAATTGTAGAGCTTTAGTAAAAAATCGTGTTTATTTGCTTTAGTGAGTAAGCAAAGGTTAGGACTAACGTTGATTAACTAGCGAGTACTAACAGCGATTAGTAACGTAATTTGCTTTATTGGGTAAGCAAAGGTTTGAACTAATGTTGGTTAACTAGTGGGTGTTAATGAAGTAGTATCATTGTAGTCGTAAATTTAAGGCTGTTAAACAAACTACTTAAGTTGTTTTGTAAGTAGAGTTTGAAATCGGTTAATAAATGTAAACAAGGGCAAACAACTGAAACAGATCGATCATAAGTGAATAAAAGGAACCTTATAGCATTGCAAAAGGGCCATCTTTATTTATTTACAGTTATCTGGTACCATTAAGTGTGTTCCAAAGTGATACCTTGCAATATCACCATTTAACAAGAATCAAAAATTGTAAAAAGTTTATTATATTGTTACAAGATAAGAAATAAAATACAGATGAAATAAAATTATAATAATAAATTTATAATGGAGATTAAATTAGTCATTCATCGCATCTTTATTTTACTATTGTTACTAGAATCTAATGTTTATTAATTAATATCGTTAATAGTAATTAGTGGTTAATAATTTCCAATTGATTAATAAAATTTTATTTACCTTTAACATTTTAGAGAAAAGAGTCAAAATCAAGATTATTCAACGAACTATCATTACTTGTATAAATCTTCAAACTTTTAGATTTAGCAATCTCTTCATCTAATATTCTACTTGTATGATATGCATCTGAATGTGATTTGTGTGCTTGTTGCAAAGTACTACTGCTACTGCTACTAGTAGTATTATTATTGTTACTATTTTCATGTTTTTTGATTTTAGAAAATTTGAATAATCTTTTTATTAAACTATTATTACTATTATTATTTTTCAAATTCTCATTTTTAACAATTTCGTTACGTTTATTATAAGCAAATGTCCGAAGCTCTCTACTAATTGGTCTTTTTGATGGATCCACATCCCAACACCTCTGCATCATTTGCACATAATCGTCAGGCATACCAGGTAGTATTGGTGGTCGTAAACCTTCACATATAACAAAAATCAAACGATGATTGTGAGCTCTATCATCAAATGGTGGATGTCCTGCAAATATTTCCCACATTAACATCCCAATACTATAGATATCTGACTCTTTGGTGTTCTTTGTATCAATTTTGCCTCTAAGTAGTTCGGGTGCAGCATATGATACAATCCCATAGACTTTATTTGATGATTCGCCATCAACTGGTCCACATAATCCTAATCTGTAATAAAACAGCCACCTCCTTGCATAAGTATATTACCACTATGTAAATCACAATGGATTAAATCTTTTTCATGTATACCATCTAATGCCCAACATAAATAATCAAAGATTGAAATTCTGTCTTTTAATGTTAAATTTAAATGATTTTTTTCTAAATAATCCCTTAAATTTCCATCTGATAAATAATTTAAAACGATTGCATAATTTCCATTATCTGGGAATTTAGTTATACCTAAGCACTGAACAATCAACACCGATTTGATTTTGGAATAATTCATTGCCTGTAATTAAATATAAAACCAATTAGTATTATATGATACAGTATTGTTTATTTTTTAAATGACAACTACCAACCTCATTAAAAAATGCTTTTCCTGGATTACTCGATTCATTTAAACTTTTTAATACTACTCTCTGCCCATTACCTCCAAAATAACTAAATTCCTTTTTGTTTTCGTCATAATTAACAATAGTTCCTCTTGACCATTTAGCAGTATAAATTGAACTAAATCCACCTTCTGTCAACTTTGTTATATCATAAAATTGCATCTAAAGAGAATTTAATGAATTTGACGAAAGGATAAAACTGATGTACAAAGAAACTCTACAAAAAAAGTGAAGACAGGTTTAGTATAGTTCCTTAGTTTCAAGTTTCGGGACAGGTCTTTCTTTAACTGGACTTCGTGTAGTAGATTTCAAAAACAAACTTTTTTTTTATCATGTCACTGATTAATTATTGGGAGAGTGATCTTAATAAAAATAATGTTATGAGGATTACTAACGAATAGTTTTTGAAACTTATTATTTTCTTTATCCAAGAAATATTAAGGTACATGGAATTCGAGTTGTTTATATACACGATGTTTCATTATAGGACCACTTCCTCGACTAAGTCTACTATTGTACCTTGTCGGCTTTGTCGACCAATACAAATTAAATAACACGCACGTCGTAACGAAATAAATAAATAAGATAATGTCAATAAGAGATGTCAACATTTTCGGGTAATATTATTATTCAAAGAAATATTATTATTATGACAAATAATAATATTGCTACAACTCGGAATCTTTATTTTCCTTATTTTCCAGATTCAAAAAGGGTGATATGGTACCATTTACATTTATTCAATAAAATTTGAGCTATATTTGATTTTTTTCGATTTTGGATTTTGATTATAGTCGAAAGTTTTAAGATTCGAAGCAAATAATGATGCCCGACGAAATGTTTTGTGAACAGGAAATAATTTTGTCACATTTGGCGAAATTGACGAAATAGTAATAGTAATGGAAAATCTGACGAAAAGTGAAAAAATGTACGGAGAAAATAAAAATAATAAAAAACTTATATATGCGCTCTTAAATTTATATTTATTTGTTCATTTAAGATCCTCCATTAAAATGTCGGATGATAGTCAGCTTCAATTTGTAAATGCTAACCCAAATGTCGAAGATAATTTGTCCTCCTCTAACTAGGAAGACCATAGGTACAAAAATAAGAAACATCTTTTCCAAAAAGGTAATGAATTATTCAGAATATCAAACATACATACAGTGAAACCTTGTTCCGATGAATCTAGTTTCAATTATAATTCAATTCGCATTTCAACGAATCTTAAACGAAATTTTCTTATGTGTCCAGTAATTATGTATGACGAAACTTTTTACGAATTTCGATTGTTAAATAAGCTTTTTTTTCCTAATTAAAAAAAGAGATCTTTTTGTCCTGATATTTTCCTCGTGTTTATTTATTTATCCCGGATTAAAGGTCAATTGGATCAATTGTATTTTTTCTCCAAGTCTATTGCTATAGGAGAATAAACTTCATGCAAACATCAAAAGCTATTTACAAATTTCGTTTGTTAAAAAAAACCCCCCTTTGCAAAGATTAATCAATGTATTTTATTTGTTTTCTTCGAAAGGAAATTAAAAATTAGAAACCTTACCTATCCGCTATCTCCCAATGGTCAAAATCAAAAAAAATTTGTACATAATGTTTGTTTATCTACCATTGAATTGAAATTGACCAATAATAACAATAACAACGAAATATTTATTTTGAATCCCGGACTCGAAAATATACTAACGCTAACACGACAAGTATTTGACGATCTGGGATCTGAGGTAAAGGTTCCACAGGTTTTTGGTCATTTCATTTGGTCCAAAACGTCAGAGCAATACGAAGACCTAATGGTAGACAGCGGTAGACGCCATGCAAAAAACATTCTAAAAGAACGATTTCTTTTCAGTCAAGTATTTGCTTTTCTCAACCCTGACATTTTGAACAAAAATAGATAAATCCAAATAAGATATAAATGGGAATTCGCATGATATTGTGATATAAAAATAATCACAACTATTTATCATTTCTGGAAAACGAAAATATTTTCAAATTTCAATTTTAACAAATTTAATTCCAAATCAGCGTAGAAAAAAACTCCTTTGATTTTGGTTTCATCTTTTCCCAACAATTCAGTTTACTAAATTTGAGCAACAAAATGCTTAGAAGATTCATGATTCGTTGCCGTAATTGCACTGAATTTATCATTTCAAGTCTCAACGAGTCTTCATTACATCTCATATTGTTAGGTTATATTACTATTACACAAAATATAAAAATCTACACAAAAATTACGAGATTTAGAAAGAAACCGTAATACATGAACCTTTCTTTTATACTATTACCAGAAAGAAAGAAATTTGTATATAAAATTAATGGTGAAATGCGTAATAATGCTAGTGCTAATTGTGATAGAGAAAGTAGAAAAGATTATTTTTTTTCATTAGTCAAAAAAAAAAGGGAGCTTTCCGAAAATGAAAAAGAATATTGTAAGGAAAGATTTATTATGATTTTGAATTAGATAATGCAACATATAAATTGGGAAAACCAAAAGAATGTAACAAGTGTAAATTGACAAGATACTCTGATAGGTTCTGTGAAGGTTGTA